TCTGAAACCGTAACGGAAATAAATTGTCATCCATGTCTAATTCCTGGAGGTCTCTGGGCCATATTCAATAATAGATGAAGACGGACAATATTGCCCCAGTTGTATTTGACAACACTGAATTGGCAGAGAGGTATTAAGGAAAGGCCACATGACCAGCAGGTGGAGAAGCCAGCATTTGAACCCAGAGCCGGCGTTACTTGATTGCTGCTTGATCTACACAGAGGTGACACTGGGCTGGGGGCAGCCAGTAGAATCACCTGCTTTGACTCAAGCCTGCTCTCTCCATCTTACTAACGAGACCACCATGAAGGTCATGTTAATGAACTGAAGTCATCCTGTCTGTGGGTAACATGGTGTTACAAGGCACGTCGCCTTTTAAACACTTAGATTGAATTTAAAATGCCGGAGCACTTTTGACACTCACTAATTCTGACTACCCCTGCCCGATTAGTCCGAAATCAGAGAGATTTCACTTTCCCTTAACCTTCCGTTAGGACGAGAACATAAGGAGAGCATGTGTGTCATGGTGACTGCCGGGGCACATGGAGACAACATGCTGGGAGACAGCGGCCGTCCCCTTCAGCCCTGGGCACCTCGAGGCCCCGCGGCCTTCTGTGAGATGAACTCACCCCTTTTGCATGTTGCTGCAAGGTTCTTGCCCTAAAGCCACAGACTCTCCTTCAAAACTCGGGAGTCAAGCCTGTTTGCCCTACGTACGTCTAACGGCAACACTGGATTTTCCAAAACAGTATCTTCAACCAAGTGTAAAGATTCAGTCACTCTTAATTCTGTTCCATTCCATCCAGCAAATGACAGCCACTAAGGTCATTTGCCAAATTCAGGGACCTAAACTCACCCTTGATCAGCCACTCAGGAATCACCTCCTGGCCCAACCACAGACTCTTCCCCATGCAGACTGTTGGGCCACAGATGTTTTAGGGTACATATCAAAATTCCACCCAAATTGTGGCAGCCAAGTAAGGTCTCTCGGCAGAGCTAAGCTTGCTCGTAGGGATAAACAGAAAAGGAGGCCCTGAACCTCTACCTAGACAACATGGCAGGGCTTTGTTCGGATGTGGGCTCCCTGAAAGTGGCAGGAAGCCTTGTCACTGTTATTTCCCACGGGGCCTCAGAAGCGTGGCACGCAGCAGCCCGCGTTACACACCTGCTTACGGAACCGTGGACAGGAACGTGGGCGGCAAAACCACAGACGACCATCCTGACTTTGACGACTCAGATGTGGCCAGGCCAGAAGGCTGGTGATGAGGGTCTCCAAGTTTTCTCAAATCTATCAGAATGGCTAATGGGAACCAGGCATGACCTTCATATGAGATGGCACGGGACAAGTAAGAGGTCACGTTTCCTTGACTTAAGCGGAGATTCTTTCAAGTCACTGGGACGATACTGGTCTTTCCATGCAGATCGGAAGTTACTACTGATACTCCGGGGAGAGAGAGGGTGCCTTTCCTCCCCGCAGCCCCCCATCCTCCCTGGGGGTGGAGGACACAGGATCTGATGGCTACGGGTTTAATAACGAATGGGGTCCTGGCCTTTTAAGTGGTCAAGTGCACACACATGACGATCGCTGCCTCCGGGGGAGGGCTAGACTTAAAGCTCTTTCTCCTCTTTTTTCCAATGCTTGTGTTACCGGGCACTCCGTGGTCAACTAGTAGTAACATTTTGGTGAAGGATGAGAGGGCCTCATGCAGGACTGAGTACACGTCACGTCTTCCAGGCTGGTTCGCCAGAAGGCACACACCAGGGGCTCTGGGCAGTCCACTCTCCACGAGATGGGGCCCGTCTCCCATTGTCCTCCTCTGAGTGAGTACACACATCCCATGGCAAGTGCATGGGGCGGGGGGCCTGGCCCAGGCAGGATTCACAGGGGGTCCTACCCATCCTGCCAAAGCCACTTGTGAGCCCCTCGACCTGAGGCACTTCACCAAGGAAGAACTTTCCACAAACAGAAGTTGAATAGCAGTGAGTGGTAGATCGCTTGAGAAAATGGTGATTTTTCTATCTGCAACCCTAGGGGATGATGCCAGGCACAAGGAACGAACCCGGTAAGGAAGGCAGGAACTCGGGGTTGGCAGCCCAGGGCCCTAACCCCGGCCCCACCTGCCTTGCCAACCAGCCCCAGATGGACAGGCATTTCATTTTCCTGGCCTCCTTGTCCTCAGTGGTCAAATGGGGGTGTCTGGTTACGAGATAATCTCTGCTTCCCTTCCAACGTCAGCAGTGAATGACAACTTTGTGCGGTATCTTCAGCACATGCCTTTCGCTGCAGCCAACACAGAGACCATTTGCAAGACACATGCTTGTTAGCAAATTGGAAGTCAGTGTTTGCTACACAGTCCCTGCCAAAGGCTTTTTACCGTCATCTGATATTCAAGAGATAGACTAATAGCTGTGTCAGCTGTCCCCGAAGAGCTGGCGCCCAGGAGGCAGATTCCAAACGATTCGTATCTACTGAGCACTGCAAGTGGCAGCTCGGACATACATCACCTCATGTAAAAGCCTTTCTCCCGGGTTTTTCGCTAGATGAAATCTTGATAGACCTCCTAGCAGTCGCTCACGTCCAGGTTTTTCCTAAACGTACTCTACCAGTGAACTATCAATCCCTTCAGAGTCTCTGGTTCTGGGCCCTGAACGAATCCACAGCATCACAAAGCACAGCCCTGTGCCTTATTATCTGAGCCCCCCGCCGTGTGGTCTCCGCTGAGTGACAAACATTATAGCATCCCTCCTCCGTTTGACAGTGTCCTTGTGTCTGTCTTCATTAAACTCGGGTTGAAGCTACTGCTTACGGTGCTTGCTTGGTGTTTCTTACAAAGGGGCCAGTAGGTTAGCTGTTCTTTTTTTTTGGGGGGGGGGGAGGGGGGAATCTTACCACTGAAGTTAAATGTGTAAGTTTTCTTATATCAGAAATTGAAAATGACATAATACAAAGTTCCTCTTGTTCTCTCATTTGAAGCCTGAATTAGTGTTCGTTATAGGAAATCAGGCAATACATCACGGATACTTAGCAGCATGTATTCCTTTATGCCCTCAGCAATCCCAAATCCTCCTGGAAACAGAAGGGCACGCTAATCCCAAGTAAATACAGGAAGAGTCCAAGGAGTCCAGTCTAGGCTGTGGATGTGGCCACGCCCCCACTTGTGTCCACACTGCCATAGGCGTGCTGTTCACTTCTACGTCCGTGTCCTCAGTCGGACGATGGGGACAGGCTGATTCCCAAGTCACACTATCTCATGAGACCCTGCTTCATAGAAACCATTTAGTACAGTTCCTGGCTCATAAGCCGTCAGCAAACATTCATTTGTGATAACATTAGCTTGGAACCTAAACTGTCCTGCATTTCACGCCCATTCTTTTATTGATTTCTATTGGCTTGCCCTTTGTTTTCTCCCATCTACTGAGCCATGACTTTTTCACCAACCCCCGTTTCTTAGAGCTCATGTCCATCACTCTAGTCACAGCCATGCCAGCTCCCTCAGTCATATGTTGCTCCCTTTCTCCCCACGGCTCGCCCTCCTGGCGAAAGCCCATCCCTGCTCAATTCAGCTGTCTGCTTTGTCTACAAGAGACAGTGTAGGGTAAGGCACAAGCGCGTTTGTCTGCCCAGGGCTTACGCCCCTGATCTGCCACTTAACACCTGTGTGTCTTTTAAGTAAACGGCTCGTCGCTTCTGGAAAGCGAGGATGATGATAAGTCCGAATGATTCGTGCGTGTGTGATGAAGTTTAAATGAGACTCTACACTTAGACTTGTGCTGACCATAGAACGCACCCAATAAATGTTAGCTTGGATTCCTTTTATTATTATTATTATTAACATTATTATTATTACTCTGTGCATGAGCCAATGAAAAGAAGTCGGGGAATCGCATACCCAGAACCACGGACACCAGGTGGGCCCCTGATGCTGTCTGGCACTGTACCTGATCTCCCTAGGTTGTGTGCTCTCCTGCTGTCTCACAGCACCATGTCGTGCCCCCAGTTCTTATTCTAAACCTCCTTCACCCTCAGCTGACGAGCTTCCCTCCTGCTACACAGGGAAAACAGAAACCCTCATGTGACCATCGTCCCTATACAACTACCCACCCCTGGGCTCACTGTGTCCACCTTCTGTCTAATTCAATGGGAGAAGGGTCTTGCTTCTATCAGAGGCCAAACCCTGTCCTTGGGGTCCAGGTCCCTCCTCTATAGATTTTCCAAGGACTGTCCTTCCGCACTCATCTCTCTTCTGTCTGCATTTCTGGTTCCTCCCTGAGGTGACCCCCAATGATCTTCAACTTCTGGCATCCGTGCCCTTGCATATCACCTCCCCTTAAGTGTGGGTGGAACCGAGGACTCACCTCTAACTGACAGAAAATGGCAAAGATAATAGAGTACTATTGCCCCTGTAATTCCAGGGCATTATGGGAGACTCTAGCTCCCTAGCAGACAGGTGCTAAGATCCTCCTTGCTGGCCTGATGAAGTAAGAGGCCACGTTGAGGAAGCCCACGTGACAAAGCACTGTGTGAAGTGGAAGTGGGGTGGGGCAAGGGTCCCTAGGAGCTGAAGGCAGCCTCTAGGTGGCAGCCAGCAAGACGCTGGGACCCTCAGACCCACAAATGCAAGGGAGTGAATTCTGCTAACGACCTGCGCGAGCTCAGGAGTGAGTTCTTCCCCAGTCCAACCTCCTTATGAGAACACAGCCCACCCAACGCCTTGGCTGCAACCTGGGACACTCAGCACAGACCCTGGGAAGATGAAGCTGGGCTCCTCACCCACAGACACTGTGAGAGCTGTTGCAAGCTGAAAACTTTGCAGTCATTTGTTATACCGCAATAGAAAAGGAACACGCTCACCTTCTACCAGGTAATTCCCATCATGCTGCAGTCACTGCATGAGAGTCTCCTGTACCCTGTCTTGAAAAAGCCTAGACCATATGCCCTCCACGTGCTCCCCCACTCTCTGCTCTCTTTTCCAACAACATGTGTTAAGAGAGGTTTCCACCTGTCTCACTGCGTCCTCGCCTCCCGGTTCCTGCTCAGCCCACTCTGGTCACGTCACGGACTTCATATTCTTTTGTCAAGGACACCAACAAGTTCCACACCATCGAATCTGAGTGAACACATCTCCGCCTTTATCTTATTCAGTATCTCTGGAGTATTCCACGCCACTCAGCAGGCCCCGCTCTAAGAACTATTTCTTCTCTTGGCTGGCCAGATTTTACATTTGCATGTTTTCTGTCATTCATCTTTCTGCCTGCTCCTCCTACACCCAAACCTCTTACCCAGAGGTCTGGCCCAAGGCTCCCCTGCCTTAGCCTACTGCACTCTCTCTCTAGCCCCAGCTTTAAATGACATCTGGTCATTTAAACATGCTGGTGACACCCCAATCTTTCCCTCTAGCCCTGGTCTCTCCCCTCGGCTCCACATCCTACAGCCATCTGCCTAATGGCAGTTTGCACTTGGCTGTCTAAACGTCACCTCAGACTTAACATGTCCAGAACAGAACGCTGGGTTCTTCCCTCATGCTAGTCTGTTGTTCTCCCGCTTTCCCCAATCTTAGCAAACCGCACACCTAAGCAACCTTGACACCGGGGCCCCGTTCTGGGTTCTCTCTTTCCTTCAGCCCCATCGGCTACGCCACCAGCAAGTTCTCGCAGGTCGGTCTTCACAACAGACCCTGAAGGGGTCCCCTCCTCTCTGACTCAGCGCCTGTCCACGGAGAGCAAACTGCCCTCACCTCTCACTTGACCTACAGAAACAGCCACCTCACGGGCCTCCCTGCTGCCCTCTACACGCCGCACGGCATGGCCTCCTTAGAGACACAAATCACCTCGTATGCCTTTACTGCTGCAAACTTTCCAGCGTCTGCGCACTCTACCTTCTCAAGGCCCCCCAGGCTCTGTGCTGCTGGCCCCCACCTGCCTCCCTGGCCTGTCTCCTACCTACCACATTCCAGACACACTCACCTTTTCCTCCTTCCCACATCAAGACTTTTGCAGTTGTTATTCCTTCTTCCCGGAAAGATCTTCTTCTCAAGCTGCATGTCTCAGATCTCAGGTCAAATGCCCCTTCCTAGGGAGGCCTTCCCCGTAACAGCTTACACTTCTTCCTCCTAGACTCTGAGATACCACTATTTCCCTCATAGCGTACATCACAATCACAAAGCACCATGCTTACTTATTTGTTTGTTTGGCTGGTGGTGGCTCTGACTCCTCGCACCAGATGCAAGCATCTGGAAGATGTGCGCTGCTGTGTTCTAGAATAGCACCCGGCACACAGTAGGTACTCAATAAATATTTGAAGAAATGAATGCATAAATATAAATATAAGATGTTGACATTTTTATGTGCATTAGAATAAAATGATCCTGTTATATCCCATTAGAAAAATCTCTTCAGATGCAGTGTCAAGATGGCTTAAAAGCAGTAAAAAAATTATACAAATTATACCTCAAACCACTCAATATACACATTCTTGAAAAGTTGCAGGGAAAAAAACTAAAGCATTATGAAATGAAGCCCATTTTGAAAGAACTGAACAGAAGTTTGTTAGGAGGTGGGAAAAACGTTTTTTGATAATGTGAATGATCACACCCGAGTTATGATGTTTTTATAGAGTTGATGTCCCCCCCTCCCTACACTGGGGTTGTTTGATCACAGAGCATAAATTACAATTAATTTTTCTATCACAAACCGTGCAACCACTGTTCAAACCACATGACATATTTTCAGTATCTCTGGACAAAAATGCTTAAGGAGTCACTTACTCTTGTTCCTCAATGTCATCGATGCCATATGACTTAATTCCAAACCCAGCTCTGTCCCGCTGCCACACAATGCAGGCTTTTTAACAGGCCATGGTAATGAGTGTGGTCATGGTCTGGATTCCAACAGCAACTGTCAGAACCTATCATCCCGAATGACGACTTGCTGGAAATTTCTCCCTCCCAGAGCACACCACTTCCAGGGTGGTCTAGGAGAGAAATCTGTGATCTGTGCCTACTCTGGGGCTTTTCTAAATGCTGGTGTTTTCGACGTTTCTTTAAAAGTACAATTTCATGTTTTGAGGAGCTGTCATGCATGCCCCCACAAAATCAAAAAAGAAAAAAACAGTCTCTCTCTATTCAGCTCGCTGGTTTACGCTTTTTTTTTTTCCTTCCTGATATGCCAATGTCTTCTGAAAACTCTGGGAAACACTTATGCAGTTGACTTTCAGAGCCACTCTTGAGGAAAACCGCTCACTCCATCCTTACCACTTGCTGCCCTCAAAACTTCTTAGCAACACACACTGTGCATGGACCTCGGCGTGGTTTGCCTTGTCCAATCGCATGCCTGGAAGCCCAGCCAGTCAGTTGTGTAATAATAAACCCCTTATCTCCTGAAGAGACACACAAATGCAACGATCTCTCCGCGTTTCGGTGCACAGAGACTACGCTAGAACCCTCAGCAGAAACTCACATCCATTTTCAATGCTAAATCCGCCGCCACCCCCCCACCCCCCTCCATTACCCCCATTTCCTCCTTTGCAATTTTGAGGAGGGGAAAAAAGCCAAAAATGCTACATACACAATGTCGAGTTTAAAACAGGGAGGGCAGGAGGCGCTGCGAAAAGCTGCCAGCAACATGCATGCCGAAAGCGAGGGCTTTTGGCTTTCGCTGCACCGGGCTTACCGGTTCCCTCTCGGCGCCCGCGATGGAAACTCATCAACAATTGTTCTTGGAGGAAACACAGGCTGAGAGATTGACAGGCGAGGCTGCTCGCGGGCTGCAAGAAGCTCGACTCGCCCTCAAAGCCGGGGAAAAGGGGGCCACTCCGGCGTCCTCGGGGGGGGGAAGTCTGAAATCACAGGGCCAACATGGTTGAT